TCTAAATGTTAATTTAATTAATAAAATTATTTTGTCAATTTTGCTCTGGACTTCTATCCACATTCAGGCTTTTTTCGTTAAATCTGTCCATAAAAGATAGTGTCATAAAATTGTACACAGGTTAAGTAATCTACACAAATATTATAAAGCTGAAGAGTTTGTTTTTTTGATAGTTTGTTTGAACGCGCTAATCTCCGAAACTACTGATTCGAATTGAATAATTCTTTTTGTGTTGTATAGTCCATTTATGGAGGAATCTCGCTACGACCAATAGGAGCCGAGCAAAGCGGGTGAAATCGCGCACAAGTAGCTAGTATAAGATATTTGTTACAGGATTAAAGAATAACTCAATAGCCTCACTACCTATTACATGGGACTCATAACATAAATAGTGAAAAGTGGGTGTTACATTGTACAGTGGTTATAATGTGCACCTCTGCCTACCCCTTCGGGTATAAAAGGCGTGATATTTAAAAATACGTTAAGGCTACATTGTCTAAGTAATTCAAAATTCTAACATGCTTAAGATTTTTTATTTATTTATTTATTTATTTATTCCACCTACATTTATCTTTACAGGTTAATGCCCAATGCGATAAATGTGCTCATCTTAATATCTACCTATAGCATATTACATAATGCTTTCCTTGTGAATTCACCCAGAGTACCACAAAATATATCAACTAGTTCTTTTTTAAAACTAGTATTTTCAAGGTTACCTTTCTTTATTATTTCGAAATTCAACCCAATTACTTCTGCAATACGAACCAAAACTGCCAAGCTCTGCCTTCCCTCTTAAAGTAAAAAACCGTGGTATTACTTATATAAATATGTGTGCATTTAAAAATAAACTTGATAAAATATGAATCTCAATGTGACACAATATAGTGCTATATTTATTGTTATGAATTCAGTATCAATATTATATGTGATTTTGTTTATATAATGATATAAAAAGATCGATATAATTTAATTAACGAAATGACCTTGTATCAAAACCTTGCACGACAACTTTGTAAACGTATGAAATAAGAACTATTTATTAAAAATAAGAAATATAGACAATTTCTTGCACCCAGTCTAGTACCATTCAATCGTAAGCTAATAAAATCTTCACTTCAGGTTTTTAAATTGCAAATAAATAAATAACAATTAGAAAATTTGTTATTATACGTACTGGTAGCGAAGAGACTGCCTCGTTGGCCGAGCGGCCGCAAGTGCGACTGCCGGGCAAGGGGTCTGTCTCGGGTTCGATTCCCGGGTCGGGTAAAGTATTACCGGGTTTTTAAAAAAAAATTCTCAGTAGTAGCACGGAGTCTGGAATTGTGCCCGGTATATGGCAATAGGCTCACCCCCTATTACATGGGATTCATAACATAAATAGTGAAAAGTGGGTGTTAAATTGTAGTGGTATAATGTGCACCTCTGCCTACCCCTTCGGGAATAAAAGGCGTTGTGTTATGTTGTATGTAGCGAAGAGAATTGCAAAACCGTAAAGTTGCATGTACAACGAACAACGACTTCAAAACAAAGCTATGGGCTTGTCAGTCCGGTTTAGACGCCATCTATTTACTTAAAAAAAATGTTCAAAATAACACTAATAAGGTATGTACAAAGGTAACATCATCGTCTGTGACCTTGAATTCGTTTTAAACACGAGTCAATATCACAAACTGTCTGTATATTACTGTATTGTACCTATTCTGTTTTAATTATTATCACTATTAAGATATAATAAAAATATTAAAATATAGGTACTAATGGTAGAGCATAATATAAAAAAAAATACTAAGTCAAATAATCAAAACAAAACGCCGAACTCGTTCGCAACAGATTAAATACTTACTTGGTTCGGACCAAATAATCAGTAGGTATGATTAAACATTTTTTGAGTAGATAAACAAACAGATAACGTGAACACAGATGCTTAACGCGTCCGCTTTTATATACATAGATATCTTTAAATACGCATGCTCGGTCAATTCGTCAGTAGTGTACTCGTGGGCCTCGGATAGAGTGAACATTATACCCGTGTATGTATTCGATCCAAACAAAATGTTCCTCATATTAGTGATAATTGGTTTAGTGGCACTTTATTTCTACGGAACGCGGACATTTAACTACTGGAAATCAAGAGGCATTAAACATGATAAACCAGTACCTATTTTTGGAACGAACTTAAAACAGTTCATGCAACAGGCCAGTATGTGCATGATGGCTACTGAAATGTACAACAAATATCCAGAGGAAAAAGTTGTCGGATTCTACAGAGGTACTGATCCAGAATTAGTGATAAGAGATCCAGAAATTATTAAAAGGATCCTTACGACAGACTTTCAATGTTTCCACTCAAGAGGCCTTACTTACCACAAGACTTGTGTCGAACCCCTGTTAAGGAATATTTTCTTTGCTGACGGAGACTTATGGCGTTTGATCCGACAGAGATTTACTCCTGCTTTCAGTACAGGCAAGTTGAAGGCAATGTTCCATATCATCACAGACAGAGCAGAGAAATTGCAGGTTATCACAGAAGAGGTCGTTGATAGGGAATATTATGACGCCAGAGAACTCATGGCCAGATACACAACAGACTTTATCGGTGTCTGCGCTTTCGGGATTGACATGGACTCTTTGAGCGATGAAAACTCTCACTTCCGAAAATTAGGTAAAAGAATTTTCGAAAGAAGGTTCAGAGATGCAGTAGCCGGTGCCTTGAAGATTATGTTCCCTGAAGTGTTCAAGCACATGCATTTCCTAGCACCCGAGTTAGAAACCAACATGAAACATTTAGTGCAGACTGTGCTTAAGAACAGAAACTACAAGCCATCAGGTAGAAACGATTTCATTGATCTAATGTTAGAGCTCAGAGAAAAGGGAAAAATTATTGGAGAGTCTATTGAACACAAAAATCCAGATGGTACTCCAAAAATTGTGGATTTGGAAATGGACGATTTACTAATGACAGCTCAAGCGTTTGTATTCTTCGGAGCTGGGTTCGAAACGTCATCCACTGCCTCAAGTTACACTTTACATCAGTTAGCGTTCCACCCAGAATATCAGAAAAAGGTACAAGAAGAAGTGGACACTGTGTTAGCCAAACATAACAATAAACTGACCTACGATGCTATCAAGGAGATGAAATATTTGGAGATGGCATTTTATGAGTCCATGAGAATGTATCCATCGGTTGGGTACTTGATCCGACAGTGCTGTGTACCTAAATATACGTTCCCAGAAATTGATTTGACGATCGACGATGGCCTTAAAGTAATGATACCTATACAAGCTATCCACAGAGATGAGAAGTACTTTAGAGAACCAAACAAGTTTGACCCTGAAAGGTTTAGTGACGGCACAAAGGAGGATATTAAGAACTTCGTGTATTTGCCTTTTGGAGAGGGCCCACGATCCTGTGTTGGTAAGTACTCTATTGTTTAAAACTTTATATCTTAATGTATAAAAACTATAATAGCGTAGCAAATTAGAATTAAAGTTTACAGAATTCTCAACTTTAAATATCAAGAAATAGATACCAAATACATATCACGTTTAATGTGTAGGTGCGAAAGCAAAAGTAAAAAATAAATACGATCGGTAAATATATCACGTAGGTACGTTTTATGAATTTAAATTAAAATGTGAGTTTTATTTCAAAACAAAAATGGACTTTGGCTTATTTATTGAGTCGTCGAGACTCGAGTTGAAGTTTGGGATGTAGAGGAATAATATTTGGGTTGAACATAATTAATAATAATTAAAAATTCAATGCCTAGCCTTGATGTATTTGACTTAATCTACGACTAAGCGTGTTCCTTGATACTATAGAACTTATTAGTCTACATGTATTAATCTCTACGTACCTTACCTCTTCGGGGAATTACAGATATTACACACAATTATGCAAATCTAAAATGCATAACTGACTAATCAGTAACTTATCTAAATGATTATATTACCCCTTAAATTGTTGCTAGCATACCTAATACTACAGTAATATGTAGGGCTGATCAAAATGAGCCTAGTAACGATTGTTCAGCAAACTACAAATATTTCACATAGGTATAGGCATACCAATAAAGATTTGAAGAGTTGTATGTTATAAAAAATCGAATGCTTTTTTCCAGGTGCCAGACTAGGACAGATGCAGTCAATGGCTGGTCTTGCAGCAGTTCTACAGAAGTACTCTGTAGAACCAGCAGCTTGCAGTCGCCAGGAACCATTGCCTGATCCAGCTGGAATTGTCTCCGAAGGTTTTGTTGGCGGTCTACCGCTTAAAATAAGGAGACGAGTGAAATAGCTTCAAAAACCTTACTATTATTTTTAATATAGACTGACTTTTTATCTTTACGTAAATACTGCTTTAAAGAAGGAGTATTATTACTGTTTTTATTAGCTCAAAAGTAACTTTTATTGTGATGTAAATTAAGATTGAGTTTACCAATTGACCATAAAATATTACATAACAATGACGCCATGACCTTGCTAAAATTGATGTAATTATTTTTATTTACTTGATTATAGTATCTAAATTATTTATTAAAGGGATAAAAAAGACCTGTTAATTTGTATAGTAATTGTAATAAAATACTTACCATTGATACATCTAGTATGTTTACTCCTGGGTCTCCTTTTTCACCTTTGGGTCCAACTGGCCCCGGTTGACCAGGTGGTCCTAATGTTCCTGGACGCCCCTGAAAGACATTATTGTGTCAAAAAAATCATAAGCTATTTCATGTAACTATGTTAATTATAATTGCACTATTATTTTTAATAAAATAATGGCTGTATCAGTAGTATAGAGTGTAAATAATTTAATAAATTCATTTACCTTTGCATTCTGAGCAGCGAGTAACAAAAGATATAAATTAGCAAAACATTTCATTTTTATCACTTTCAACATTCTTTTCGTTCTTTATCAATACTTACAATCCATCCTGGTAGCCCAATATCTCCCTTATCTCCAGGTCTTCCAGGTGGTCCAGGTGGTCCAGGTGTTCCAGCAGTACCCTTAGGACCACTCGGACCGGGCCTTCCTCTTCTTCCTCGTAATCCAGCGTCACCTTTGTCACCCTGTTATCAGTACTTTATTTTTATCATAGTCATTATCCATGTTTATCATTATTTTTCCTTTCTTCGCCTAATCACTGTGTTTAGTACTTTATATATGTTTAATATGTAATTGTTACCAAGAATATTTATCTGTGTGTACTATAATTTGTACCCAATTAGTATTGCTGTGACCTTCAACGTTTTAGCGGTCTATTGAAATACTACGTAGGTGAGTTGTGAAAATATTTTAAATTTTAAATAATAATTATAATTATTTTATGTTTTTTAATTACTTATATTAATTTATTTTATTTTAGTAGTTTTTTTATAATTCATGTAATAGTATTATGAAGTAATTCTACTTCATTATTATAGTAACAGAATAATATTCACACACAAAGATAATTATCTAGATTTTACGTAATATATTTATATTGAGTATATATTAAAATTATTAGCACGTGTTCAAAGACATTTAAATAAGCACAGCCCAAAAGTTCACAAGGAATTGTATCGTCTCAAAAGTCTTACCTTTATAGTGACAATATCAGATCCAGCCATAGTAACGCTGATAGGTCCAGGTGGTCCTCTTTCACCCCTTTCTCCTTTTAGACCAGGAGACCCAGGTGGTCCTGAGATTCCAGGCATGCCAGAAGGCCCAATGTCACCTCGGTCACCGTCTTTGCCATCCTTGCCTGGGAAACCAGGAGGTCCGTCGTTTCCTCGACCCCCTTTTTCTCCCTGTTACGAAAATCAATTAGATATAAGTCATGATCACTGCAACGTTTACATTTTAAAGGGTTTTTTAGGAATGTATGCTTTTACACATCGAAATCATATCAAGCGTTTGATTGCCGCTAGAAAACTATCGAGGGCAAATCCTCCGCTATCGTGATCCACAATTGTCCCCATGGTGTTCAAGTTGTTAAGTAGTAATGCTTATTGGACGAGAAATTTACTATGAATCAATTAATTTTATATATATTTAACGTGAATGTAATAGGAGTAATTATTTTATTTTTATTAATAGCAACAGCATTTATAGGATATGTTTTACCTTGAGGACAAATATCTTTTGTATTACAAAATTAGTCAGATGATACATATATACGTTTATTTCCCAGAGAAGTTATACTATATTTTGGTAATATCAATTTCAAAAACAGACCATAAACATTGAACATTAGCTAATATCAAGTGAAACAAGTTAATTTACTTCTGCAAATAGGCTAATAGGCTACAAGGCAGCAGTTTTTAAATTCACAATCGCAATTCCAAATTCAATAATTAAAATAAAGCATTGTTTTACAACATCATAAGCCTATCGACATCAATTATAGACCTCGAAAACTTCTCATCCAATTAAAAGTCATCTCACATCTCATAATACCATCAATGAATACAAGATTGAGGGATCCTTGAACACTCACGAATTCGCCCCTCCCTAATTGGTGTTTGAATAATATATTCAAAACCTCACCTTTTCACCTTTGTCTCCTTTCGAGCCAACCACAGCCTGCCTTTGTCCTATAAAATTAAATATGAATTTCTATTTGTTTGTAAACATAGGTACGAAGTTTTTCACAGTTCTTTGCGAAGTAAACAAATTCAAATAGATTATGCATGTAAAGTGGTACAAGAAGATGTACGTGTGCATGAATTGTAATGTTTACGGTGTTGATTATATATCTGGTTATTGATTTCACGTGATTATGAGAATTTTTTTTTTGCTTTCATCTTTCTTAACTCATTATGTGAAACTCATCAATTTAGCTATTAAATGAAAGCCTTCCGGCTTTCTCACGTAATTGTCTGACAAGGAACTCGAATAGTTTCAAGCCATGCTAAAGGCTCATATTCAGTATCGGGTCGCGGAATGCTGCTCACGAATATGAGCCTCTAGTATGGCTTGAAATTAGTCGAATTCCTCTTCAAATAATTACGTGAGTAACCCGAAAAATAAAATAATTAATTTAGTATGTCTCACGAATGTTATAATATAAATAAAATTTAGCTGTTAATTAGATTGACGAAAACTTTAAGAGAAATCATGAAACAGAGCTATTTATAATCTTTATTTCACAGTTGATGACTCTTTTTTTAATATTAATAATTGTGTAATTGTTTATACCTGTAGTGAGGAATTCTGCATCTTCAGGACTGTACATCCCAAGCGCAGGTGGGCCTGGTGGCCCCGGCTCTCCACGTTCACCTATGATAAACAAAACTATTTGAATACTAGTAAACAATAAAAAAAAAATTATGACACTGCTAAAATTTGGTTATTACCAGACCAACCTAAAGTCATGATGATTATATTTTCTTTGACAAAAGTCTCTTTAAATATTACTGGTAAACAATGATGTATAATGACTAATAAAAATAGTACTATTAGGAAGTCTCTAACAATAATATCGTAGTATATCTATTAGTTGACATATTCGTTTAATATATCAGCTTAATTATTACGCGAAACCGAATAATACATATTAAGGATTTTGTTGCTCGTTCTTCTCCATTCAAAACTAAACTGTAGACGTTGAAGCCTTTCAAAAGTGCCTAATTGAGGATTAATTGTATTTAAAAATGAACATATATCTAAAATGGTTCCATAAAATATGTATTTACCCTTCTCTCCCTTATCAGCTGGCCTACCACTAGCACCTGGTATTCCTGGCCGTCCATCCAGTCCTGGACCACCGCGGTCACCTTTATATCCTCGCTCACCTTGAGGTCCTGGGTAACCCTGTACATATTACAATTCAGTATCATTATGGATTATCATCATAATTATGCTTGTTTAGCTACAAAAGTTCTTTCCGTCAGTGTTTTGTCGTACATTCTCTTATCTCTTGGTACGTGGCAAGAGTTTAGTATTTTCTTATGAAGAATGAAACTTGAGGCTTAAATTAAATGTGAATAATTTCAAAACTAAGTTAGGTGCTTCTAATTACATTTCTATACACGAGAAATTAAAGCAAGGTTTCCTAATGAATAAGAAATTAACTCATAAAAGTTGTTAGCCAAAAAAGAAACTGACCTGTCTTGTGTATGTGAATAAATGGCATACAAAAAATTTGCTTACCCTATCTCCTTTGCCACCTCCCATCCCAGGCTGACCTCTTTCTCCTTTTTGACCAGGGAATCCTCGTTCACCCTGTGGTCCCATAGGTCCAGGTTGACCAGCATCACCCTTAGGACCAGGAGCTCCTGGTCTTCCAATAGCACCTCCATAAGATCCGAGGAGTGACTCCTGTTTTACATACATGAAAATATTATTTAATGACCTCAATAAATAGTTTAGCAACTTAAACTTTGTTATACAGTTACTGTTTTCAAAGAGGAATTCTAACAATGTGTCTTTTGCTTCTTTTATGAGATTTTGCCTAATAAATACAGTTTCTTTATTTTCAATTTAGATGTTTGGTCCTGCTAATATCTTTTTTGTTGTAATTTTTATTGGTATCTTGTAGATAAATAAATTACATAAATGGACAAAACAATTTAAACGAGTTTATGGTTAGACAGTTTTATGCTCGTTTTTATTTAAACAAATCTAGATTTCGTTTTTTTATAACCTTAATAAAAAGACAATTTGATTGGAATTAAGACTAGGAGTAGTCTAGACAGAATTTTTTTTGTATCTTGTCAGGATTGTGATCACATTTTTTTACTTGAAAAAACTTTTTGTAATATAAATAATAAATACGACTTTATTGCAGCTATTGTCGATTCCAAACGGACATTTTAATAAAAGGGAACTGGGTGACTGGCCAAGGTGTCAAATATGTTATACGGCTTATAAAACGCATTCAGATAAACAAACAACCCCATAAAAAGAACTTCTAAAAAAGAAACCAGGAAGATTCAAATTATTTTTCATACGAACGATACACATGACAAAGTTCGGGAGAGGTTTTCAAATAAATTCTCTTATCTGCGCCTGTCGTCGGTATAAATCAAGGGGAACAAGCTACTTTCACACTTCTGGCCAAGTTATACGGAGTGGTTTGTTTGCTAAGCGGGCTCAATCGTTGCCTCCAAAAACCAATTCGTTTCAGTCACAAACAAAGTGACTTGACAATGAAGGTAATCGGGAACCGAAAAATCGATTCTTTTGGTCGTCTTTTTGTAAAAGAAATGTTACTGTTTTGACAGTTCTGCTGATTTTTTCGAATATTTTGTAGAACATAAGCGTAAAATGCTTACATTTTTTGAAAGTATACATAGGTTCAGGTGTACTGATAACGATTCACCGACGATTACTGTTGATTTTATTATAAGCTTATAGGGAGATCTACAACCCGCGTAAGTATAAATACCAAGCGTGGGATACAAAAGACATTTGTTTTACATTTCGAAAAATATGTTACTTCATCAGAACCAAGTTTAGAATCGCAAGTACAAATTCAAAAGTCACTCTGTATTCTGATGACATAGAAAAAAGCTAGAAATTCTAGAAACACAACATATAAAATTAAATCGCTTCGATAATACCTAGTCGTACGCTGCGGGCAGCAAAAATACCGCACTACCGAGGAGCACATACGTCGAACATTTGCAAAAAGTTCCGCGGTCTACCACATTCGCACTTAGTTTTTACAGCCTATGGAAGGCAAATACTGTTAGGGATGCCAACATGTTTATATTTTTCTTTACTTAAATCTAAGGTTTCTTCTTATACGTTATTAAAGCCTGAATAAGCCAATCTTAGCTTAACTGGTCTTAGTAAACTAGTTTATGGAGCGTTGGTTACTAAAAATAGAGGTAGAGTTTAAACAGTATTTTATTTAGTTTATAGGCGTCAAAATCTACTGATGGATGGATAATTAAGTTTCCTAGAAACTCACCTTGTATATTTGTCTAGGTTTCCAATTTGACTACATTAACAGAAATGGTTAGCATGAAAATGACAAAACGACACTGGCATTAGAATATAGGCAATGAATCTACTTGGCGATAGCATCTGATATTGTAACTATACTTGGAGCAAACAAACGGAGGTACTCAAGTATTTTATTAATTAGTACCAAATGGAATGAAAAACAATCTAGTTCCCTTTAAAATGAGAATGTTGTAGCAAAAAATGCTAGTGGTTCCGTTTCTCTGCTGCAAAATGTACTTATAATAATTTTATCTTAGGTAGATACCTTTAACTGTTACATTATACTTTATTTGATCAAATATGTATTGCATTAACATTTATTATAAAATATTATTAATTGTTATTAGTATTTAATTTACTTACTAATTACTCACTCTAAAGGCAAAGGAGTTCAATACTATTTAGCAAATCTAGGTAATTATTAATAACAGCGACGTATCTATGAAATCAAGCCCCAATATTTGTTTCTCGAACGCAAAAATTCATAAACCTTTACTTACATCAAAGTTACTATAATCTGATGTCCCTGGTGGTCCAGGCGGACCAGGTGGACCGGCGATACCCGGTCTTCCATCTACTCCAGCTTCCCCTTTAGTACCAGCTGGTCCTTCTGGCCCTCTAGGACCAACATCACCCCTGTCACCTTTGTCACCTCGAGGACCAATTGGACCACGATCGCCTGGAGTACCTGGTTGACCCTATAAATTAAAAAAATAGCATAACATAGTAAAATGTCTCGTATGTCTTAAATGGGTAAGTTTATTGTTGTGTAGCACAACATTTTTGCTACTTGTGTGTGTAGCACAAAATCTTTGTAAAAATGACTAAAATAAAATGGGAGTTGATTCTTGGCTTCAATTTAAAACTTTTGATAATGTAAACCTAATTTTGGCTAGTTAATTTTCTAGTTCAGTGATCTCATAATATCATTCACCAGACTAGATTACATAGCTTTATCTTTTCTTAGCTTATCTTAGGCTAAAACTTTGTGAACCATTTTGAGTATTAGATTTTTAAGTTAGATGACAATTTTATTTAAATTTAATCCAGAATCAAATGAGATTTTATGCGTCTTCAAGCTTACTTACAGGTAATCCAGGGGCACCAGTTCTTCCATCAGCTCCAGTAATGCCTGGTGGTCCAGGTGGACCTTTGAGTTCTGGAGCAGTTTGAAGGAGAGCTAATATAGTACTCGAGTTGCAGCCACATTGACCAAGTGAAGCGTAGTTCTCTCCAAATATCTGCTGCTGATGAAAATGATACTTGGTTAATACACACTCGAATATTCGGTTGACTGTGCAGGAAGTAGCCTAAGATTTATTGAACCCTCAAAGGAAATTGAGAATTGATAGTTAAATGATTAGTTTAGTAAGGCAAATCAAGCGAAAATAGTCTGTTCCGATTTATCTTATCGAAGTTGGTCACCATGAAATATTTTAGGGATAAGCCGTCACGTTGAAGAGGTTCCTCTTTAAGTATATAGTTCCAAATATATATATCATGACTGGTATTTAATATTATATTGGCCACGGGGAGTTCAATTACTATAGACAATATATATTTAAGGGTGGGAGAGCCATGCTTCGGCACGAATGGGCCGGCTCGACCGGAGTGATACCACGGCCTCACAGAAAACCGACGTAAAGCAACGCTTGCGTTGTGTTTCGTCGTGTGAGTGAGGTTACCGGAGGCCCAATTATCCTTCCCTTCCCCAATCTCCCCAATTCCTGAATCCCCAACGATCCTCAAACTCCTAATCTCCAAAAGGCCGGTAACGCACTTGTAACGCCTCTGGTGTTCCAGGTGTCAATGGGCGACGCCGATTGCTTACCATCAGGTGATCCGTCTGCTCGTTTACCGGCTTATGCCATAAAAAAAAAAAAAAAAAAAAAAAAGACGATTTTATGTAAGCTCAAACCAGTCAAGCATTTGGCATATAACTGCAGAATTTATTCGCAACACAGCAAAACACATATTGTCAACTATTTGGCAAACATAAACAAAATAACGATTAGCAAAATGGTATCGTATTGATCAAGGCGGCCCCTAATGTGGTCCCCAAATGTGGTGGTCAGCCAAACGGGGCATTTTGCCAAATTCTGCAGTTTACGAATGTGGATCCAATTGAATTAGTTGTATTTACTATAGTAGTGGGTACGTTTACACTTAATAGTGCCATGTACGCCGGCTAACGACCCGGCGTAATGCGAACAGAATAGGCGTGATTATTTTTATCGAGTGGCAACCCTCGCCCATTGTGTTGTTTGCTCCTAAAGTTGGTGTGTTCAGGTTTGTAAAGGATCCCGGCCTCGTTAGGGTTGTCAAGCATTATCTCTCATTATGCAAAATACACTTGGCCGGAAACATTTTCGTGTAATAGAGGATGATATTACACTATAGTTTGTTTTGTAGGTTTTTTTTTAAATTGGACAAGGTGACATTTGTGGTTACCTTTTTACCTTTGGTTCCTACGAGTCAAATTGAATTGACAAATTTATGTATTATAAAAACTCGATACTAACTGATAATAACTTATGTAATATGAATTATTGCAGTAAATTAAAAGAACGAGTGTTTTTTTTTGTATAATTATGCTATGTGTATATATAGGTATGCTAACTATAATAATGTAGGTACAAAGAAATGAAAAAATACACTAACCTTTACTGAACTCCTCTGTGTTGGTGCAATGGAGCAAGAAAAAAAGAAAAAAAATATTTAAATAAAATACACAATAATATTTAAAAAATACGTACACTATTTAGACATAAATACATAAATAGTTCGGCATGGCTATTCATAGCTTCTACCTAAATTTAGTTGCTATTTTGAAGGTTATACTATCTTATTATATCCCTATTAAAAATTAATATGTAGCTTTGGTACAAATAAGATGTAATCATTATCGAGGTGAAGATTAGGAAATTCGAACGTACGGCAAAATGTAAGGTTTTCAATGATTACTTCATTGATACGATGGTATTAGAGGTACTCTTGTAACGTAAAACAAAACGTAAGTTTTTCAATGATTACTTCATTGATACGATGATATTACAGGTACCCTTGTAGATATAATAAATACCTTCAAGTACAATAAACGAAAAATGAAAAACCCAGACATTGAAGGCACTTGAGACAAACTAATGAAATTAGTCCTCGAAGAACTAAAAGAATAGAAATAAATGACTATAGAGATTGGCGAACTCGATTAGTTAACTTCGTTACACCGTCGAATCGACTCAAAACCTCTCGGAGAGCGAATCGATTGAATCGATATTGTCAAATCGAATGTAGGACGGGCGCCAGGAGCATAATAAACTTTGTTACGACTGTAACGGGCAGAATGTTTCAATTTAGTCACCTTATTGAATGTACATAGAAACTATAAGTTTAGTAAAAGGAACCTTATTTTATTAGAGGGAAGGATATAATTGGTGAGTTGAGATGGGTTCTTAGGGTCACCAGGCTAGCGAGGACATTGAGGTAATACAATTGTTGGCTAAATCTTTTCGGTGAAATTGATATTCAGTTCTAGTTTCCTGTCTATTGTCAAGACTCTTGTATAGAATTGTATTGTTGATTGTTGGTAGTTTTTCGAGTGCTAACTTAGGAGTGTTTTTACAAGAAATGTTGTCAACATAATCTTGCCTTTGTTCAGGGTTATCAACAGTCATTCTTTTTAGCACTCATGTTTGAAGTCACGTTATAACAATGGCCGCTATTTTCAAATAACAGTTTTAATATATTATAGGTAAAAATATTTCATACCAATAAACTTTAAGTCAACTGTACAGTCGAAATGTCGAATGAAATAACCGAAATATATTCTAAAAACCCGCAACAAAAAACTGCATACACAATAAATCCTAACTCCCCATTTCGCTTACGCATAAACGGGCAAAACTAACTCCCATTTTGAAAATACTATCAGGACAAACAAAAAGTAACAAAGAGAGAACAAAATTCGCATTCATTTTTGCAGTTCGAGTCCCATATGACCGGGAATAATGCAAAAAGTTGGTTTTCAATAGACCATTCAAGTTCATTTTAGATATAACTATGCATATTGTGTCCAACAGTGTATAAGCAGAGATAGTGCTGTTATGTTAATGTTGTATGGACTACGTTACAAGAGGTAAACTTTTAGAAGTAAGATTGATAGCTGATGCGAAAGAATGTGACTTTAAAAGACTGTTTCTTGTAAAAGGAAGTGAATATGGTTTGGTAGACATTTTTGCAGAGATGGTACATATCATGTTAAATAATTACTTTGATGCTTATTTTTAGATGTAGTATCAAGGCTGTTGTTTTTTTAATGCAAACTCGCCACATCATTAAATTACTTTTAATCACACGCCATGGGGGGTCAACGGGTGGCCGACGTTACCTGAGTATTTTCCTCAACAGTTTTCTATTGGCAGTTAAAAATTTCTTAGAGAATTCTTATTTAAAAATGTAGGTACTCCGTTGCAACCCTGCTTACGTTATAATTATATCTTTGTTTTAGAACTGTATTACTACTGTTTTAGAACTGTTCATATTCAGGAACTCCAGTTTCATTTTATGAAAAGCTTACCTATCCTAAATAGCTAGCTTTCATGTCTTGCACCAAAACCAAGTTACAGGTACGCTTGCTTACGGTGTGAAGCAGGTGATGTCCGCAGGCTAAATGAGAAGTCTGCGGTCCAGACTTTGATATGGGCAGAGCTCATATTGGACATTAACGAACACCTAACGAACCTCCAAATGAGACTCTATTCATATTAAAATAAGCTAACATATTGTTTAACTTTGAACTTGATGCATGGACGGTTTTGTGAAGATCTTTGATAGTGGTGATTAGAAGTGAATGGTTTTACTTCATTATCGAATTTTAATCAACTTTTTTGTTCCAGATATTTATAAACTTCGTCAAGGGTCGACATACACAGGTTTCCGAGAGATAGACAGTGGCGTCCTTTAACTGATCTAACTGTGATCCATATTTTACAAGCCAAGACTTATTTAAATATAAGAAATCCCTAAGGTTTTTTCTTACTTTCTGACGTCTTCGGGTTGATAGTGACAGTTGGTAGGTTTATTCTATTCAATATACTTACATCATCTCCAGATCCAGATATTTCAGCGATTACTCCTGGAGTGCCAGACACACCTGGAGGTCCAGGTGGTCCAGGTGGACCTGGTGGACCTCTTATTGATTCTCCTGGAGCGCCCTGTATTACAGAATAGTTAATTAGTAACTTTTAGTAACTTATGAAAGCACTTTCTCTTTTAGAAGTTACTTAGTAGGCACTAAAATCTTTTTTGTATTCTTCTTCTTTACTCACACTTATCAGACAACTTTTCCCATTCATTCTGTATTATTCTCATCCATTCACATGCTTATCTTATGCTTCAATATTCGGTTCAGTTTTGGTTGAAGAAAAAGACATATAACGTTTAAATATTTGATTCTAACTAAATCAACATAGCACACATTAAAAGTACAGCAAAAGTAAAATATTCCACCAAAGGAAAAAAGAGCTTCAGTGCTATAACTGACGTAGTGTACTGTGACGTCATAACCCTACGTCATATCACCCTGTACGTCTCAACTCGTATGAAGACGTTCATATTTTTACCACCAAATCATAAAATCTTTCGCCCCATTTCACTTCCCCATTATTACTTATTTACACACCCTTTAACATGAAAGTCAGGGGTGTGTAACAGTTTGAAGTACGTACACAGACGGGGTGGCGACGATTTGTAAACATAGTGTTAAGTAGTAAGTGATGACCCTACATCATATAAATATGGCGTATCTAGTAGTGGTTGTTCACACAACCAGTACACAAAGAGCGCGCCACACTCACGTGTGGCGCGCTCTTTGTTTTGAAATAGGAACAAGTTGTTTTTTGTATCAGTATTTTTAAGAGGTAAGATTTTAAATAAGTGTTTTAATAAATAATAGAATCTGATAAAAGTGATTAATAAGTATTACCTACCAAAGATTGTGATCTTTAATTAGATATATTTTTCGCCAAAACTTTTGGTAAACAATTATAAATCTAATGTAAAAAAATTATAAGACAAGCCGGCTTTGATTGTGTATCAACATAAATTCATTTCAAACTATGAAAATTGTCTATAACAAATTTATTTTTTGTCTATAATTAATCCCTAGATACACTTACAAATATAAATTTTTGACCTAAAATACACACAGCAACTGCCCACTTTTCATAGCGCTATATGCCGGCTATAAATTGTAAGACAATAGACCATCCCCTATTATACTAACCCTATGTGTTACCGATCACATATTTGTTTATAATAAATTGATATATTGTTGGGTATTCGGAATTTTAATGGCTATTAAAACCTATGTGCCTATTGTTTAAAAAATGTTAATTGTTCGTTTCAAAATATTCGTTTTCACATTCTGGTCTGGTCTGGAAACGCTGACATTAAGAAATTGTTTTTACAATTTTAATCGTTTATGTTTTCGTGTTATTCATGCAACATCAGCCTGGAGCAGTTGATTACAATTGTTATTACATAAAATAAACATTTAATTCCTTACTTTTATGAAAGTAAAAATTGTATTTTACCTGATGAAAAACATTTTTTATTTGGGAATTTTTTTACTGGACCTCTATTTAGAAATTTATGCAAACTAAATTTCTCCACTAAGTACCTACTGCATATCAAAAAAATGACTGTAGGTACTACAAATTAACTACATATTAGTTACTCACCGTAAAACAAAAATACTGGTTTGCACACAAATTGGTTAATATTACAACGGAATTTCCAAAATAGGTTAGGTTAGGTTAGGAATTATTAGATTTACTTTTACTTATTTTTTAAATATAAAAGGTATTATATTCAGTAAAACAGTTAGTTTTAAAGATCTAACAGTATAGTATAATTGACTTATTTGATGTGCAAATTTAGTGTGCAATTCAGTATTTTTGGTGGTAATTTCGAATATTTTGTTTAAAAAAAGGGAATTTTCAGTTAAAGTATTAAGTACCACCCTTTTTATTTTAGAGATATTGTAAAAAAACTGCGACGCGAGTGACGCACGTACAAAGGTGAAAAATGGAAATGGAAAAGAATACACGAAAATGTACGTAATTGCCGGTTTTTAAAACTTCCGGAAAACATTCGAGTTAGAATCACCAAATTACTGAACTAATAGTGCCTGTAACACAATCAGTATGTGGTTTTTATTTTAATGTAATTACTCTTTATTTTTAAACCAATTTATTGTAATGGCTATGACTATGACTATGGACACCATGGCGGCGCAACCAGTCACCGCTACCAACAAAATGTACAAGTTGGTTGCGCAATCAAGCGGACACCAGGTGAATAACTCTATACAGCTAATTTTGAACTAAAGTCCTTAATTCCAGAAAAATGTATAAGTGAAATAGTCTTGCCCTTGGTCCACGATCTCCTTTCTCGCCTTTCAGTCGTAATGAATAGCCTGAAATAAAAAAAAACACTTTTTACTAAAATTTCTATGTAGCAAGCAAAATCATAATTACCTACTATAAAATTTAATCATCAGGATTGCCTCGTTGGCCGTTTGGTCGCAAGTGCGACTACCGGGCAAGGGGTCGCGGGTTCGTTGTTTTTCAAAAATCTCAGTAGTAGCGCGGAGCTTGGAATTGAGCCCGGTATATGACAATAGGCTCACGCCTATTACATGGGACTCATAACAAAAATAGTGAAAAGTGGGTGTTTCATTGTACAGTGGCATTAAGTGCCATAATGTGCACCTCTGCCTACCCCTTTGGAGACAAAAGGCGTGATATAAGTCTGCCATTGTATATATTTTGTACAAAAAGTGTAAATGAATGAAATAAATATTATGTTATTTATTAGTACCTCCATCTAATCCGGGCGGTGGTGGTGGAAACGGTGGTATTGTACCATACCTTCCTGAACCTTCAGCGTCGCCTTCTTCTTGGTCAACCTGCATTCAAGAATTTGTTTACTAAATATATTTAATACATAAACAAAATGTTACTCTTTTTAGTAGACAGGTGTTAGAATCTTTGTGACAATGTGAGGTGTGACGAAGTAATAATTTTGAAGCAGTATGTGGCTAGTTTGGTGACTATTAAACTGTATTATTAGCAAAAATGTGCATACTGCACAATGTGAATTTCTCCATGACGATTTAACCTAATTTCACTCGGATACGGAATGAGTCTGTTGTAAACCAGTCAAACTTCAACTCAATACTAGCTCAGTTATTAATGACTATGAAGTTTCAAATAAGTATAGTCTGATATCCGAAAATGAGGACAATTGGGTACCTGAGGGCTTAGTACAAGTTTGTCTTACGTGTAAAGTAATCGAAATGAGACCTCGCTCGGCGCTGTGATTGGTTCTTCCATTGGAGCCGGCCAATCATAGCGCCGAACGCGTGCTCGTTTCATTTACTTTTCATTTGAAACAAATTCGTACTAAGGCCTCTGACTAGTCAAATTCAATACTTTTTTCGAACTGTAAAAACGACAGTTTACTATGAATTTTGTACGAGATTGTGTATAGTAACGTCACGTTTTTTTAGCGTCAAACAGCATAATTGTTTTTTTTAAATTGCTGGAAGATGTAAAAAATAAGTTGGTCATAAAAAATAATTATTTTTTAATAAAGTTTTAAATTCATTATGAAATTTCATTTTATTAAAACTTCATAATGAATTTAAAACTTTATTAAAAAATAATTATTTTTTAATATTTTATTGTAAGTATTGAAAAGTCGAAATAAATTAATTTGATTAAGAAAAGTACCCAATTATTCGAAAAAAAAAAGAAATCGCCAATGTAACAACAATGGTGATCAGAGATTTTAAATTAAAATCCAACAGAAATGAGGTCAGAAAGGAATTTAACAAAAGGGTCATTCAGAATACAACCACGGACACCTCCTTTAGCTAATCTCCTGGTTACATAGGACGGAGTGTTCAAATGTTCAAATATTCACAATGCTACCCTCAATTAGTGACGGGGTCCATGTAAACATGAGGATATACCAATGAATTAATGCAGTGAGTTCTAGGGTTAAGATGTTAGTAAATAGTGAATTAATGCAGTTTCTAACCGTGGATTAAGCGTGGTTTGTTTTGTTGTCGAAGCTTGTGAATTGTGTTTTCGTTGGATAGTGGGTTTTATTAAACACTAGCGACCCGCCCCGGCTTCGCACGGGTGCAATATGCATGTATTATACATACAAACCTTCCTTAAGAATCACTCTATCTATTAAAAAAAACCGCATCAAAATCCGTTGCGTAGTTTTAAAGATCTAAGCATACATACGGACATACAGCGAAAGCGACTTTGTTTTATACTATGTATTGATATTGATTGATATGTACGTAAGTTAAATTATTAACTGAAAAATATTATTTGCCCATTTCATAGAAATTATAGAAAATAATTAAGCATGTTTATATTAAAACTTTCGTGAGACGTACTAATTATATATTAATTATATTACTACTACTAGCAGTAGCAGTAGTATCAGTAGCAGCGCCGCGTCGCCACGTCGACGGTCGGGGAATACTGGTCATGAATATGAGCCTTTACCGTGGCTTGAAACTAGTCGAGTTTCTCGTCAAACAGTTACGTGAGTAAGCCAATAATTAAGCATATTGCAGGATAAAGTAACAATCATTGCAACCAGAAAAACTCAAATTTTTTTTTAAATGTTTTTTTTTTATTGATATCAAAATACAGTTCCTCAGATTATTGCGTACAAAAACCAATTTTAAATAATATGCAACTAAAAATCCGTATCTACGAACAAAACAGTCCTATATCTACCAGGAATAACACGAATTCTGCTTTGACTATTGTGTTTCCAAGTACGTAGTTACTTATTCTGCAAACACGAGGGTCGTTAGAGAACGATATGAGTACATTCAAGCTGAACAAAACCAATTTATCATGGTCTAGCTTTGTACGATCTTTCCGCACTTTCAACGATCAGTTTATACTGGTTCTGAAAAGCTTGATGTGTTAGTGTACATGAATGTAGCGAACAAAGATTTTAAGGAAGTTTGTACTTATCAGTGTTACTGGATATGTAGACTTTGATTGCAAACTGAGTCGGAGAGCGGAAAATCTCGGTGATTGCGTATGAATTATTATTTTTATGTTGACTTCATAGTTTTTTCTTGCTGTTTTGTTAGAGGTATTATTTTTCTTGTGGAAAGAATATGTACTTGAGTTGATTGTCTAGTGATAGTCCGTCTATACGTTGGTTTACCAGTAACAAACAATAGTGTCCTACTTATTTGTGTCCTAACAAGCGTAACCTGATACAAGATGATTCAATTTTGCGTTCTTAAAGTTCTTAGCAAAACAGTTATTTATTTGTAACTAGCTTTTACCCGCGGCTTCGCTCGCGTCACAAACGGATAAAAAGTAGCCTTTGTGACATATACCAATACACCCAGCGCCATCTATACCAATAATTTTGTTTTCGCTCGGGAATATCAAATTTTTCCGGGATAAAGAGTACCCTATTATTCAATCCGGACAACTAACTTTATGTCTGCAAAAATTCAAAGCAATCGGTTTAGTAGTTACGGCGTGAAGCGGAACAAACAAACAAACTCACTTTCCGATTTATAATATTAGAACCGATTCTAGTGTCGGATGGTTTTTGTCAGTAAAAGTCTGACTCTGACACTCCACACCCAAAGGCGGCGAGTCATTGGATGATTTTTCACCTCAAAAACAAAAGTGTTAAAATCAACTAAGGCAGTTGTGGTACTGATTAGTTAAGGCAGATGATTTTTAGAACTTTATACTGCTATACATTATTGGTTGCTTGAAACTTGTCAATCTTAATCATCAGAGTCTATGTTCAGCTGTTGATACTGATTATGATGATAAATATAAATGTTATGTCTACTGCTCGTTCCTAGAACAATATTATATCTTTTTACCCAGTCAGAAAGCAATGTAACAAAAACTTTGCCTGCTCAGCATCAATGCCATGGCTTATCTGCAAGTTGATATCTAATGCCGAGTGTAAACACGACAGTATGATGTAGTTTCACTTGACAATGTGACATCGATACCGGTAAGACTGTGGTTTTATTGTATAAGAGAGCGATTATGAATAGTAAGGTAACTAAGGTAAGTATACTGTTGATTTTAAAGCTTGACTTTGGAGCTAAATTAAATCTGAAACGTTGATAAAGATTGTTAAAATAGTACCTATGTCTATGTTTATATTAGCGGAAGATTATTTTCTACCGTCCTATTTATATAACTATCGGATTGTATGACTTTTAAAAAACCAAAATGAAATTTGGACACAGACAGTAGTATGTTGCCAGGGGCAGTCAGATGTCGGGTATCAAGACCCTCAAAATTATATGTTGTGAAATATAAATTATTGTCTAGTGTTATTAAGGTCCTCGGTACGTTTTATTTTACCTTTCGAACACATTTTTGAGAATGAAGAGAACTTATATTTTCTTTGATTATGTAGTTAGGCAATAATAAAATGGCTGATAAGTTTCAATAAAACATGAGTCGAGGAGTTACAGCAAAACTTTTTAATATTTGCTTAGAAACTTGTTGAATTTTATGAAGACATATTCCTTTTCTTTATATTAGGGACAATAGTGCTTTTATTACTAAAATTTTACGTTTTTCAAGCCTTAATAAAATATTTGACTTGATTTAAAGAAGGCTTTTGTACTAAATGAATAATTTGAAGTAAAATTTTTAGTTCTTTAGAAGTCTTTCAGAAATATTAGACCCGTTTTCTTTTTAATTTAGAAATGACGTAATTGTTTACAAGTCTTATACCTTTTGTAGGTATTTCAGACTATACTATTTAATGTCGAATAATATTTTTTCTTGATTTGGGAATAAATTTCAACATATTAAATTCAACAGTCGTGTCTATCTCATTATCACATCAGCTTATTGACTTCCAGTGCTGAACATAAACGAAATCCAAGGTATTTATTAATCAAGACATTCAAAGATGCGAAGCTAGCTTTTACCCACAACTTTGCCCAACAAGATGTTAGAAAAAATACTCAAAATCTGGTGAGACTGTCAGGATAAAAGGTAGCCTATGTTATCCCTGATAAAGCAAACTTTGCAATCTAAATATATAAAAATTAAACCAGTTTCCCGTTTTCACGCCTTATGGCGTGAAGTTATCTTCAGAAGCGCTAGACCGATTTGGCTGTGTTTGTTATTGTCAGGAGAAGGTTCTTATAACAAAAAAAGTCCTGAAAATCCTACGGGAATGGGAGAAACGGGATTGCGCGTACGAAGTCGCGGGGAGAAGCTAGTATTAAATATTTTTTCTGACAGGTGGTAATACCAGTAATTTTCGAGTTCATTACATACAAAAGATCAAATGTTTAATATAGATTACACTTACTTATCCCTATTTAAGTATCCCGCTATCTCTCTCACTGTAACCGTACCCTATATGATTGCAATCCGATGTTCCGCTACCAAGTTTGTTTACGATATGGGTGTTTGCTTGCCAGTGTCAACGGACAACTGAGGTTAGAAATCATTTGATCGAGATCGTTCGCATGTCAAGTGGATTTACTACCTTCCGAATTACCATCGCAGCTGTTGTACATTCGTTGATACGGATTTTTGAACTTTATTTTGTGGTTGTACTGTCTATATAGTTCTTGGTTGACTAGTCGTTTGAGTCGTCTGTACTTTTAGTTTAAGCGAGGTTGATTTAACCGGTGCTTTTAACCAAATTTTGGTAATATGGTAGATATCTATAGACATTAGTCTAATCTAAAGAATGGAAAAATATAGACATGTAAAAGTATTTATGTTAGAATTTTTGTGAGACGAACTAAATTAGTTTTTAGTCATACATGTAGCAGTGCGCATGCCGCGTCGCGGAATTGGCTCATGAATATAAGCCTTGAATATAAGCCTCTAGCATGGCTTGGAACTAGTCGAGTTCTTCGTCAAATAATTACGTAAATAAGGCGAAAAACATAATAATTAATAAGTAAAAGTAGTAAAAGACTGCCTCGTTGGCCGAGTGGTCGCAAGTGCGACTATTGGGCAAGAGGTCTCGGGTTCGATTCCCAGGTCGGGCAAAGTATTACTGGGTTTTTAAAAATCTCAGTAGTAGCACGGAGTCTGGAAATGTGCCCGGTATGTGGCAATAGGCTCACCCCCTATTACATGGGACTCATAACATAAATAGTGAAAAGTAGGCGTTACATTGTACAGTGGCATTAAGTGCCGTAATGTGCACCTCTGCCTATCCCTTTGGGGATAAAAGGCGAGATGTTATGTAAACGTAGTCAATTAGTTATTATTTATTCCTTTAGATATCTTTATCAATCTATTTCGTATTTCATTTTGGTTTAAAAACCTCATTGCCATGTCGGTGGAATTCACACTAAGTACGTATAGTAAATAAAATAAATCCTTAGCTATCTGTTCGTAGCCATTAAGTAAGAGTTTAATTTTGCGGGCAATTTGTTTGATTGTTATACAAACAATGGAGCACTGTTGGTATTATCTCTTGCGGCAATAAAGATGATTCTTGTAACGATGTCAATGGCTTCTAGATATTATCTGGGTTCCTATAGTTAGAGGTTAAAGTATGTTGCGATGGTCACTTTCTTCGACTATTCTGTAGATATGGTTGACAGAAGTGCAGATATTATCTTTTTTTAAAAGACTCCACACTAGGATTTTCTCCAATGTCGTGGGCGCGTGTACAAACATACAAGTGCACGTACATATGACAAACAGACCCGGAACAACAATCTATGGATCATAAAAATTGTTGCTCCGTGCGGGAATCCCGCACACGTTGCGCGGTAGCCGGTTGCCCAGCCACCGCACCGACTGTGCAGTATAACATATTCATACCGATATGTCATGGATTCGATTTAGGAAATAGAATCAAAATTTAGGAATATGCCATTAACAGCTTGAATATATATATAATACACAATAGAAAATGTATAGTGTGTCGCGTGGATCCACGTATGGACGCAGGATGGGTAAACCAAATGTGGATGTGATTCCCCTATATGAACGCTGTGAGGTAATAGGGTAGGTTCCTAAATTTTATTTTAATGTCCGTTTGGTACGTTATTTTAAAACATTAGACGCGTATTTTTTCTTTTCTCACAAAATAAATATTTTCGACGATATATTAATTTGAAATATCGTGTGACGTCACAGCGTGCCACATTTTGTAGCACGTTATGTAGACTTAACGACCTCCCTTTCATTAACTTAGCGCCATTTTATCTATCTAAGTATTGCAACTTAATACGAGAAAATTAAAAAATACGTGTCTAATATTTTTTCATTATCTAACTGACGGACTAATTAGATTTTAATTTTGATACCTACCCTATTCATTTTGCGATTTGAGTTTATTCCTTCTAAAAGGAAATCATATATTTTTATTATTATTGTATTTTTAGTCCAGCTTATATATAAAATGCAATATAAAAATTACGTTTCCATCATGACCTGGTATTGTTTTAGTCCTTAAAAACCAATAGATAAGAAAAATATAATCTAACGCTCGAATACTGAAAGATATACAAAACTGCTCAATTTGAAGTTGTACTTAAATATCGTGCTATCTCTGTCATTTTACAAAGAATTTGTAGAGATAGAACTATAGTTAAGCGCGACTTAAATTTAGTAGTAGCGTTTGAGTATTACGACATAAGTCTAGAAAGTGTTTATCAAAACACATGTGTCTAGTGTTGTGCAACCTATAATATTGTTAGTAAAGTACGCTAGGGCAACAATAAACAGTGTATTAATTAGGACTTCACAATCACACCATGTTAGTGACAGCGTTCAGTGATAAGCATTCAATATATAGATGTGTGTAGTAATCACCAAGTAATTGTCAATGTCAATCTCGTCGCCATCGCCGGATTCCTGTCAAAACGTTCCAAAATTGTACATTTTCTTTGTATTCTGTGGAACAGATTGTACTGTTGTGACCTACATAGTAAAACAATTATTTTGTGTAGATATATTGTTTATAGGAGAAAAATAGGCATACACTATACATGTAGTTGAAACATGAGATCCTTTAAAATGCTCATTTTTCACATTTGATTCATTTTTGACAGCTGTCATTATTGTCATTTTTATGAACTGTCATTATGACGTTCAGTGGTTAACATAAACGTACAACAATTAAGGAATGTAAACAAATGTGTGTTCATACTATAGGAATTTTAGTGTTAATGATAAAAGAAAAACATAAAATGCTAAAATTGACAAAAAAGTCTGTAAAAAATAATATGAATAAAAGTCAATTAAAACTAGAATTAGAAGTGAACTAATTCTACGGTTCAGCAACTACGCAGAAAAGGAGGTACAATATGAGCAGAAATATTTTTAAATAAAAATAAAATATATACTTACTTCAAAAGTGTTGACGCACTGCACTTCAGCTTGAGTCGGGGATCCATACAGCTTGAGTTCTTGGAACGCACCCTGTACCACGAGGAATGTTAGCAGTCGGCTCAACGCCGAACTCATATCGGTGGACAATTTATTGACCGTTTGAATTTGAAATTAGAACACGTCATAATACTGGCACTTTGTCAATAAAATATTTAGGGATAAGTGAATGCAAAAACAATAAGAAGACGCCTGGTTAAAAAAAATATCATTACATCGCCTTTTAATATTTTTTTTTACATGGAATCATAATTGGTCCTTTTTTATACTCTGATTTATTGTGTTTCTTTTAGAAGATACGACCCAAACTGTTGAAAACGTTGCAGGAATGTTCTCTTTCTATATACCCAGTATTTAATAAAAATAGCCCAAAGGCTATATAATATTAAAAAATATATATATTATTTTTCGAGGTAGCACACATCATTTTTTAAACTTAGAAATATTGTGTCTATTCCTAATAGTAAATTCTATTTATAGTGTAACTGTAAATAGTATGATTCTATGAAAATGAAAGAAGATTCGGAATCGTTAATGGACTACCAAACCTGAAAGCACTGTAAGCTCATTCGAAGAATCCTTAAAAAAGTCGGTTTAAAAATGTCATACCTACCTTCTTATCATTTTATTTTTATCCTATTCAAAAGTTAATAAATTCAATACACTGTAAGTACCTACCTAATTAATGAACGTCATAATTTTGCATGAAATTATTTTATAGTTTAAATAATCATAATGTGCAGATGTTGTCAACAAGAATTAAAAATATACTGAAAAAATCTGAATAAAAACTATGTTCTCTACTATAAAAAAAGGCTTTCAAGCATTTTGGACTCCTTTCAAAGAATTTTAATTATGTACGTGCCAATGGTGCCTTCATAATTCATGTTAGTCGAACCAATTATTTCTTAATTAGTGTGCACTTAAATGTCAAATTATTAAAAGTTTCAAACTACTAATTTAAACTTAGTATTTTACTTCGAGATTCTGGAAAAAGTTGGGAATACAAACGATCTGTTTAATAAGAAGCGCTTTAGCTGACTAATTGGTAATTAGAATTTAACATCCACAGAATTCCAAGTTTATAGTCAACAGAATATTTAAGAAGAAAACATTGGTAACTTTAATTATTTAAAAATTTTCAAACACTTCAAACTTCACAGGGCATTCACCTTTGAAAAAAAAAAGATTTAAAATGCGAAACCGGTACGTCAAAGATGCGTCCGCGCATGCACCCGATCGCGTGCGCCGCGTTGCACTAAATTTAAAACGCGGCAACCTTAAGGATGAGCTTAAATGACCAGTTATAATAGACACCTGTATTTACTCTTTAGTCTTCCGTGAGTTCTTAGAGAATGATAGCTCTTTTAGATTTGGTTTTTGTAGTAGGATATTGTTAAACAGACTGTATTAAAATAAAATAAAAACATTTAGGTTGCTCACGATACAACGTTACCATCCGTGAAAGGTATATTTTGTGGTCATTATGTTCCAGGTAAGTTCGTCACAAAATTTTTACATAACATTAATTATTTACGAATACAATAAACATTTGTTTTTCTTTATACAGTCATATAACAGTTTAAGGTGCAGGTAGGTAGAAAAAGTACCTAAAAATCCTACTTAAAGTAGATAATCAAGTCAGAAACATCAATAAAGCAAGATTTCAATAGACCACACCTGCTATATAAAATCAAAAGGTGGAGTTTGAAACAAAACTGAATGCACCGGGCACTTTGCCGCCTGGATACCGAAATTCATTACGGGGGAACTACATTCCTATTCAGCTCCACATCTCTTTGTCAAACTGCTAAGTCTATTCACTGGTAGCGCGATCTAATTACTACTGCCTGTCAGAATTGAAGTGTGAACGTTGTATTATGGTGTCACTCGATATTAGAGCTGGTGGTGGCCAATAATTATTGTCATCATTATCAGCAGCCTATAAGAGGCTACTGCTGACCAAATGCCCCTTTTCGAACGGAGAAGGTTTGAGCATTAATACACTTACTTATAATTAGAAATTAGAAGCTCAGGTTTCCTCACGACGTTTTCTTTCACCGTTTGTCATTGGTGTCGAAAGAATCGTAGACATATGACTTGAAAAATGTCACTTTTGTATTTGCCGTTGGTAGGTTTCGAACTCGCACATCTCATGCATGAAAAGCGGGCGTCATAAACCTTTGCGCCACCTAGACTCGGCGAATTATATAATTATTGCGATAATTTATAAACAGCGAGTAACTAAATTAGATGTGTACCTATGAACAGTCAGTGCTGTAATTTTTTTAGTTGTGTTGTTACCTAATCTCTTGTTGGTAACGAACATTGCACTTTTTAATACCCAAAGAGCAAAGTTAAGGTGCATTCGTATTCTCCAGTTTTCTCCAGTTAAATTTACATCTGTGACAAACAATAAATGCGTTCGAATTTGAATATGATTTTGAGATATTTCACGTAAAATTCAATTGGAAAATTGAATACATTCGAGTTAAGAACTCTCATGTTTTTATTTAAGATGTCTATACTATGTGTTAAGTAAGACTATACTCTTAGTTGGTCAGGTTTTGGTCCTTAGATACGCAGTCAAGATTCTAATAAATAAAATAAAAAACTTTATAACTTTCAATATAACTAAAACGAATAAAATATAAAAGTGAACTATTTCATAAGACGTAATAAATAGTCTGCCATGCAGCAAGATGGTACCGCGCAATAAAATAGGCTTTAACACACAATAAAGAGTATAATGTTCAGCGCATTTCTTACTCTGAATAGCGTGCGCGACTTTACGCGACATTTCTAGTGCTGTGAGAATAGTTCGCTATTCGTTAGCTAATAGAACATTAAAGCTTTGTGCTAGAGTTTCATGCAGATATTGTGTCAGACTGCGTTAATTAAATGCTCGCAAATTGCTCATGATCAAAAGAAGTAGTTTTTGTTTGATGAGAAGAGGAGTTCCAGATGAGATATATAATTACAGAATTAAACTTCATCATTATAAAGTTATACACCTTTACATTTGTGTCGTGGATCTAGGTAGTGATCATTGATTGCGATTAACTTTGGCTGTATTCTTCAGTTGTGGAAAGATTATTTTGTTGTGCTGTTCTGTTCCTAGTTTAAATGTTAGCATTTGATAAATTAAATTAGGAGAACTGTTTAATGTACTTTATCGATGAACTTAGGATGCATCTACAGAGTGTAACCTTATTGTTTATGGGATAGGTAGTTCAATTAATTTCCTTCTATCCTGGTTAAGGTGCGAGGGGGACTGGGATGCCGTCTCCTCCTTTTGCGAAGCAGTCATGCTAGCTAAGGAGGAGGCGGGACGCGTGAGGCAGCGAAGCGCTGCCTTCTCGCAATCCAGCCATCGCGAAGGACACACCGGGCGTCGGGGATCGCGGGACGATCTCCGGCCACCGTAAGCGCGGGCCTGCGGACGGCGAGCATGGGTGGCTCCCCGTCCGACCAGAAACAGACCCGAGCGTACGGCGCGTCGCGTTCCGCGCGCGCCTCAAAGAGCCATCAGACCACCACAGATGGGGCCCAATAGGGCCGATGCCGATTCGGAGTCGCGGAGAACCTAACGGGTAACCGGGGCTCCGGCTCGACGTGCAGGAGAAGGAACGGGGTGGTTTTTAGTCAGTAAGAGTCTGACACTCCCTCCCGCCTCACCCAGGCGGGAGCAGTCATTCGATGATTTTCCCCCCTTAAAAAAAAAAAAAAAATCCTGGTTAAGGTAGAATTGTAAAAACCAGTAGCAAAATACAGTGAAAATAAAACAGCAGAACACCACAGTGCATCGCAACTAAAGCACGGGCAAACCTATTGAATAAAAAGAAACGAGAAATTTCCGATCCCCAAAATGTTTTTAATTAAAAATACTGCGGGGCCAAAAGTGAGTTTTGTCGGGCTCACCTCCATTTCATGACACCAAAAGCCTGGACTGAAAGTAATTCCCAACTGCGGGTATTTTATTCTACCTACATAACATGCAGGCGGCCATATTTTTTTCGACAGTTCACGTCCAAAAGCTAACGGGAGATCGGATAACGATGACGTTTCGCGTCAATGAGAGATATAAATGAAAAGAAAATTCGTGAAAAATACGTACCGACTTGTGGTATTATTGCAATGTATTTATATATCGGTGTACATAATACTTATTCTACACTTTATGGAATAAGAACTTCTTGTCTATTCTTATCCACTTTTGTTATTGCTTCCATTGTACTGTGAGCAAGCCTCTATATGCTACTTGACTTACATGACTGACTTACGTGACTGACGTACTTAGCTTAAGTTTTAGACACGACACTAGATGACTACAACAATACAACCAACAAGGCAATCTAAACTAACAACATTTTTGTAAAATATAAAATGACGTCGCTACATTTCTGGTTACCTTCTTTCATTAATTCCATAACAAAGAATAATGACGTGGCTGTAAAGGTGGAAAGTTTTACAATAAATTCCAGCTAACAAGCTGTTCCTAGAAGCCCTCGTTCTATTACGTAAGTATGTACGTAAGGTCGAAACGTTAACCCTTTTATCGCGAATTCGGCTTGTAATGAAAAACGACCCTAGTCGATCCAGTTGAAGCGATAATAGAACAGAATAACGAAGTATAATAGAACAGAATGACGAGTAACCCTGTCACACAAATATGAAGCTAATTTTTCAACACCATGATTTATTTGACCCAAAACGGATTTGGGACACCCTATGTAAAACCTTACAATAGGAAGACCGTGAAAATAAAATTGATAACCCCAGTACGGGTATAGGTACATTTGTAGTTGATGGCATATGTGACGTCATGGATATTCTCGAAGCGGCAGTAGGCAGAGTCCTACTGCCATATACACAATACATTTTTCTAGTTACTTCCCTTGATTGATACCTTTATTTATGCTAGTACTTTTGATACTGAGAAGTCAAAGTCAAAAGTCAAAATCATTTTTTTCAATTCGACCAAGAAGGCACTTTTGAACGTCAGTAATAAAAATGTAAAAGTGAAGCTATTT